CCCCAAAACCCCAAAACCCCAAAACCCCAAAACCCCTCCATAATATATAATTTTTGAACCATTAATTAATAAATTTTAATTAGAGTGTTAATGATGCTCAATATTTTTAAATTACAAAGAACAGCAGGAAAATTCCTTTGCACCAAGCCATACCCTACTTTGATGCCTTTAACAAGGAGCATCTTTATTAGGAATAAGTTTCCAATGGCTGCCATGATTACAACAGTTCCTAAAAGAAGTAAGTTGTGATAAGAATTGAAACAGACTCTAATAGTATGTTATAGATAACTCATCTTATGTGCAAGAAGAAATTAAGCAGGCACCTTACTCAGGAAGAGAAAGTATTGAACTCATTGTTTCAAGGCTTGATCAAGGTATGTAGTTGAAGTCACTCCCTTTTTGACTTTTCCTAATTTACATTCAGATGGTCTGAAAGAATTTTGACATTATTATCAAATTCCTTTTATCGAAAACAACTTGGTCAAGACAACATACAATGCAGCTAAAATTTACTACAGATTAAAGGAGAATGATATTAAAGTTCCTGTAAGTTTCTCAAATATTTCCTCAGCCTAGCTCATCTCTAATCCTTTATACAGATATCACAGACTAAAATATACAGAGTCTCAGAATTGTTAGCCACAATTCCAAAAGAAGAAGTAGAAGATCTCGACACTAAATTTAAAATGGAAGATAAGTGGATGAAGTTCTTTATGCCAAGATTGACCAGCATTGAGATCGACATTGACAAAGCTCTCAGCACAGTCTATACTGAGAATCCAAAAGGAAGAAAGTATCCTGTCCAAGCAGTCCTGAAGGCTTTTATTAGAGACAATGCTAAGCATTTTAATGATTCTCAAAAGCTAAGAGCTCTCAGCATTTTAGAGTCTAATCAAGACAGAGACATGGAGACTAGCGACTTTCTTTTTAAGTCTATTTACAGCAGAATAGTTTCAAGCGAGTTTGATTTTACAGATCCTCAGTTAACCTTCCAGCTCATGAGTACAACCTTGAAGAAATATTCAACTGTCTTTAAAGATGATATTGAGAATAGAGAGGTAAAGTTCTGGGGATCCTACTTTAACATAACTGAAAATTATTTAAGGAGGGTGACTTCAATTCCTCCAGTAAAACTCAAGAAGTTCAGAAAGGATATTTGTCTCTTTGCTATTCCTTATGTCAAGGTCTTATTCAATGAATTCACATTTTCTGAGAAATTGGTCATTCTTCGCCTTTGCCAAGTAACCCATACTCTACGAGAGGATTTAGTTGAGAGATACTTTAGAGAGCTTATTGAAGAATTCAAAAATTTGGACAAAGAGGAAACCATTACCAGTCATTTTGCTATGGTTTCTGACAAGTATAACAACACTGAAGAGTCTTACCTAGACGAATTAGTTAAGGTCCTCAATTACGGGTTCTCTATCAACCCTAATCTTAAAGAAATAGAAGGCTCAGATGAGTTTATCTCAACTTTATTAAAAGAATACAGAAAATCAAGGAAGGTAGACTGAAGCTGTGAATACCTCCTTCCAGATCCTCAGAAAAGAATAGACTGGAACAATTCCTTGATCGGGAGCTATCTACAAGAAATCAAAGATATGGGATATAATTTTGCAGAGAGAAGGCCCTATGCAATAATTAAACGCTTGGAGATGATTAATCCTGATGAGTGTGATGAAAAGAAATACCTCCAGCTTCTTAAAATTTTGACTTCAATGGTGTGAAACGAATTTAATGAGAATTTCACCAAATACAACATCAAAATGGCTTTAGTGGAAAATGCTAATATGTATAACAACTACATCGGATTTAACTTCACAATCAGACTTCGTGAGATCCGTGAATCTATTATTAAGTTAATGCAGCTGCATTTCAGAGAAAATTATGACAACATTTTTGACAGAAATTACACAGAAAAGAACTTATTTAAAGTAATCATCAATGAGAAGCTGTTTGATGCCTATTTTGAGATGCTAATCACTCTTTGTTCGATTGAGTCTCAGAAACCAAGTAAGTTTCTCCTAATGTTTCTTTAAAAATTTTGATAAATTACAGTATAATATTTATGCTTTAAAAGTAAACCCCAAGAGACGAACTTAATATAGAATTTTCTATAATATCTATAAAATTAGAAAGGCAGGTAATAGTACCTACTCAAGAATTAAACCTAGTAACATTTTTACAATATTTAAAGCATCTCTGCAAGCTACAGCTGAGGCACAAGAAATTTATCTAAAAGGGAAAATTTTCGAGCACACTCTAGTCATATGATTAAGATCTTTTAGTGAAAATATTCAAATCTTTTATGAAAAGTTTTATAGGTAGCTTTATCTTCATTATGTTGATTCAAAGCCTGAAGATGCGGAAATCTCGAATATCATTTTTCTTAAAGTTTCTAAATAATTTAGTAGATCAATTCTATGAACTTGAGTAATATAAGCATTTTGCCATTGTTTTTAACAAATGTAACAAGCATTCTAGTGTATAACTCAAATTCAACTGGCCCTAGAAAGAAAATGGGGAGCTTACAAGAAGGCCTTTACCGCAATAAGATGTACAAGTATCTCTACGACCCTGCTTTATGTGGTTATATCGATTCCCTACCGAGAGAAAGTGAAAAGCGATGGAATCATAATTTTGTCCGTTATTTGCAGATAAAAGTAGAGTCATTTCTAGTAGTAAACCCTATCTATCACTTTCGTGCGCAGGCATTAGCTTATAGCAAGCAGATTAGTCGTGCTTATAAGAAGTCTTTGAATCACAACTTTCTTCCTCAACATCAAAATCTTGGCGATGATGAAGAATTCGATGTATTGAACAACACTGAAGACTCAGAGGATATTATCCCTCAGCCAAAAGTTACTGCCAATCAGAAGTATTTTATCCAAAAGAAAGATTACAAGAATCAGATGCTTGATCTCATGCAACATGACTTGAAGGAATACTTTGAGGGTGCCAACTGGGCTATCGATTCATTTTTAGATCTAACAATAAGAAAGATGACATCTAAATTCCCAAACCAAAGATTAATCCTTGAAGCACTCTGAGAGATATTAGAAGGTATGGAAGATTGCCCTCATGTGGATCATTTGGATAAGAAAGTGATTGTCTACAACCCAAAGACTTACCAAAAGATGAAGTGACTTATCCAAATCTTGAAGGATATGGAAAAGAGGAAACAAACTTCCCCTCTTCCTTCAATCTCTGGTGAAGTTGTAGCTGGGTATAAAATCACAAATTTCATTGCCCACACAAATAATTTAGATCGAGATATGAGAGCTTTTGATGAAATGCTTGGTAAGTCATCTTTTTGGTATGAAAAGTGTAGCTCATAACTGGTTAAATTAGCAATATATTAATGCAGACAAAATTTACATTCAAACTTCGTTTTGAAGATGCTGGATTTGTTTTAAAATATTAACCATTTTTAAAGAGTTAGTAGCTTTTCTTTCTGATAACCCTTCTTGAGTTTCTGATGTAATAATTCTATAGAGAATAGATTAAGCCATAAATTTATTGAGAGATTTGGTAATCAATTGAATGAGAACAAGACAAAAAGCTACTTTGCAGAACTGTCAATTATCGAAAGTAAGACATAAGAATTTAGAGTCCAGAACTACTTATTTTCATAAAACTTAATATCAGTTTAAGTAGTAGAGTGTCTTTCCTTAGTTAAACTAATTTCATCACAAAATCTACGAATCAAGGCTGTATAATTCTCTACATTTTATATGTACAAAGCATCAATAAGTGCCTAAAATTGCCTGAAATCTCTAGTTTATTATAAAGATATCTAAATAGAAGAAATGGAAACCCATGTATTTCTTCTAAATAGCATTATTTAAACAAAGAATACTAAAGTCCATCTAAAGTGGATATATTGTACTCTTTCTGTTTTCTTTCGACTTCTAATCTGATTTATTTTTGCCTAAAGTTTAACAGAATTTTAAATTTTCCTAATTTCTTGTCTAAACTATCAATTTTTCTCATGATTGATTTGTCACAAATCTTGGTTGTGAAGTATGGCTGGGATTTGCTTTCTATTGTTAATAATTTTAATGAATTTCTAACTCAAAAATAGGTGAAAATTCAAAATACCTGAATGCAGGACATTACGAGTTGATGGATATGTGCAGACAGAAGTTATTGGAGAAGTATCTTTATTCTGGATTTATTAAGTTGGATTAAGCTTTTAACTGAAGATTCAATTTATTGTAAAGTGGTTGGGGTTTTGGGGTTTTGGGGTTTTGGGGTTTTGGGG